GGCTTATCTCCAAGCCGGAAAAAAGCGGCAGCCATGTTAATGCAAATACCGCGGGGGATATTTAAATCCCCCACGGATTTGCCTATTCCAAAGTGCTACATTAGCATCCCTTTTCCGGAAGGGATGCCAGTGTAGACGTAGCCTATGAGTTTTCTCTCGGCAAAAAATATGCTGAGGGACTCATTTGCATGAGTCAGTCTCATTTGCATATTTTCTGCCAATCTGTTTTTGTGCTGGGGTTTTTGCGCAAAAACAAGCAGTATGGACCTTTTCTTTTTGTGCAAAACCTCTTTTTTCCTCAAGATCGGGGCATAAGGATCTTGCAGAAAAAAGGGGTTTTGCGCAAAAAGAAAATGTCCACACTGCTTGTTTTTGTGCAAAAACCCTAACACAAAAACAGATCAGCAGAATAGACACAAATGAGATCGCGACTCATGCAAATGAGTCCCTCATTAGTATATGTTTTGCTGAGAAAACTCGTAATGTTGATGTAGCCATAGTAGATAGCTGTCTCTTTCTTCACCCCTGCTGGCCCAATGGGATTATATCTATTTTGGTCCCCATCTCTGACCCCTTGTTCCCCTGTGGTCATTCTGCAGTATACCTGTCCCTCTTGCCAGACCCCACCCTTTCCATTTTATGAGAAGCAATCAAATTCCAGGCACATCCCATTGTCCTGGCACAACCAAGCCCTCACCTTGCTTTAAGTTATAATAAGAGGAAGCTGCATACCAAATTTGGTGTTTGTCTCATCATTTAGGAGTTCTTGACCAAATGAACTTATGGATGGACAGACAGACAGAGCACATTTATAAAATGTATAGTAAGATTAAACATGCACTGAAGAATGAGGTGAGCTAATTAAACTAGGTTATTTGTTTTCTTAATTATAGGGTGACATCGGGTTACCTGGTCCTGCTGGCCCAGTTGGAGAACCAGGAGTTGGGATTCCTGGCGCAAAGGTAAACCCCAAAATGATAGACTAAAGTAAAAACATAAGAGAACCCAAGGTTGGCCTTACCCGATTAGTAGAACAGCTGGTAACTTAGGACAGCAAATACCGTATCCCATTGTGGATAACTGCAGTAGTTTTGCAGAGTCCCTTAAAGACCAGGAAAAAAAAAGATTTAAAACCATCTTTACTCATCATTTTTTAAACAACCATTTGAAAACTTGAAACCAAAATCTCAGTTATTGAATGTGTTTATTCTTCCAAACCACAGCAGAGTTTATTCAAAATATTTGGGTTAGGCTGTATTAATATGTTTATTTAACTGTTGATAAAAACGTTGCAAACAGAACATCAAACAAAATAAGTTGTTTAACTCTTATTATTCAAGTATTTCTGTCTATTCCTAACATCCCCATTACTGTACTTTGAGCAGCTACTAAGAATTTTAAATAGATTAAAATAAGAGTCTGCCATATTTTCTTTGTAGCCAATATGAAAAACAGTTTAAGTATTTTCAAAGATATTTGCATGTTTTGTTTTTCGACATGTTTGGGTGGGTGTGTTGTGTTACAAATGTGAGTAACTAATCCCAGGGATAGTTAAATTTAAAAATCAACTTTGTTATAAATTCTGAAAATGATAAAGTCTGTCCTCATTCTCCTGAAGAGAGATTGTGAGTTCCATAATCTGGGACCTGCTTCTGGAAAAGTTCTGTCATTGGCACTTACAGGCCTCCCCATGTTGATGGACAGTTTAATTGTTCCATAGATGTTGTAAGGAGCCATGACCAGAAAAAGAGAGACAACCTCTGAGCTAGCTAGAGCGAACTGCATGGAGAACTTGAGCTTTCTATGTTTATTGGGAAGCAAGCACAGACAGCAGAGCACCTGGTTGATTGCAAAAACTAATGCGACATGCACATAGATCGTTGCATTTTTTTTCGGGATTGGGGGGGGGGGCTTCATTCCTAAATATAAATTGCAGGAAGATCACCAGCGGGACCGTGTCAGAATCCAATAGTTACCAAGACCACAGAGCAGATGCTCTTGAAAGTGAGAGATTAGATAGGAGAGGCAAATTAGTACAAACACATCCCTCTTGTGCCCAGATGCCTTCAATCTTGCCTAGCTTCATCTTTAGCCAGCTGTTCCTCATTCAGGTGCTGTTTTGGGTAGATCTCTAGAAAGCTGAGCAATGGTGCTGTTGATGTCAAGAACACATGGAGCTGGGTGTTATTCCTATTTCAGATTTTTCTCTTTTTGTTAACTGTGTGCCTGTGACAGTCTCTTAAGTACAATTAGTCTGAGACCGCTTTTGTCTGTGGCAGTCTTCCACATAGTGACAGGAGAGTGAAAAACATTTTAAAATACAAAAAAATGAGATTTTTGAAACCACATGAAAGAACAGGGAACTTAAGGACAGAGTATCTGAAAGTACTTTAAAAACATTTTTCTAAAATGACTGTCTTTCAGGCTCATAGCTTCCCTTTAAATCCTCTGTTTTATCCACAGAACAGGTACAACATATGTAATGGTAGTGCTTATTTTTTCCACTGCTCTGCTACAGTTTAGCAGCCTTAGCTGCAGGTATTATCCTATGCAGCTAGAGGGAAACTCAGTCTCTATACCTCTCTGCTGACATTGTCAATAAATGTGCCAATTCTGAGCCCAATGCTGGGAGTTGCTAAATGCCCTCAACTCCTACAGGGACATGGAGTGGTGGTATTTGAAATGTAGGTATTGGGAATTGGACTAAGGCCCTCAACTCCTTATAAATAGGCCACCAAATTGTTGCAATATATGGTAAGTACAGAGCCTTTGGCCCTGATTTGAATTGGCATCCTAGAAATGAAAGGCCCTGTAAATCTTAAGAGCCTTTCAGTTCCCTAATTTTAGTCCATTATTAAATCATCTGTCATTGACAAACTGATATATACATATAAAATAAAGCTGGTATTGTGTGCCAAATCTTGCAGAGGCGTTTCATGTTTGTGAAAACCCACCTGATAGTAGTTGTATGGACATGCACTTGAACTATTTTTCTGCTGCTTTCAGGGTGATCGTGGTCATCCAGGTCCACCTGGTCCATTTGGGCCAAAGGGAGACGGTTATCCAGGCCCTCCTGTAAGTAGATAATTTTTGACATGCCATTTGTGAACTAATAGACATGACCAGATGAAATTAGCCATGATGGCAGTTGCGCCACAGGAAATGTATGGGTCTCTGTGCCATTTGTGAACAAATAGACATGACCAGATGAAATTAGCCTTGATGGCGGTTGCGCCACAGGAAATGTATGGGTCTCTTAGGCTCATCTGCTATAGAGGCTCATCATAAATTTTGTTTGCAATCAAGAGATTACAAGTGGGAAATTTCTAATGTCATCACTGGGGTTTCAAGCAGAATCCTTAATATTCTAATGCAGGGCTGCAACTTCCCTTCTCTGTCCTCCCCTCTGTTCTCTGATACAACACTTAATCAGTGAGCCAGGGAAATTCTTTCAAGCTCTGGCATCATGCTATAGTTCTGAAAAGCAGATCTTGCACAGCAACAGTACACCAATGGGAGCTACTGAAGGCTATCTCTACACAACAAGGTTATTTTGAAATAAGCTATTTTGAAATAAAACTCCCGAAATTTGAAGGCTATCTCTACACTACAAGGTTATTTTGAAATAAAACTCCCGAAATAACTATTTCAAAATTGTCCAAACTACAAATCCCAATCAAAATAGCGCAGATCTATATTGAAATAGTATCCATATTAATTGGAACCTGAGTCGCATTTAAAGTCCCCCAGAAGCACTCCGGGCAGGGCACCAGGACAGCAGTCACTGCCTGCTGCCTGAAGCTATCTGAGCATTGTACTTAAAGGGGCTCCCTTCTACGGCCATGTCTCACTCTTCTCCATTGCCTACCTCCTTGAGGGACAACATACACCACGCTGCATGCTCTGGTTGCCCTTGTGGATGCACAGCACTCCAGCCATGGAGCCAGACCTGCTGCCGAGAAGTTGCCAGCTCTTAGACCTGTTGCTGCACCTCCTGACACAGTTAATGCAGGCTGCCCTTGGAGAGCTGCAGGAGCATGATGACCAGCCCGGAATGGGGGGCACCTTCACCCAGGGCCAGATGCTCTTCATGCACCACATTCCCTCCCAACCTCCCTTGCACACCGTGCACCACCTTTTCTGGTGCCAGGAGACCACTACCAACTAGTGGGACCAGATTGTCACGGAGCGGTGGGACGACCAGCACTGGCTCCAGAACTTCCACAGGAGGAGGGACACCTTTCTGGAACTCTGCGAGTGACTTGCCCCTGCTCTCCAGCTATGGGACAACCACATGTGACCCACCAGTCCCCTTCCCCTCCCCCCAAAAGTTGCCATCACAATTTGGAAGCATTCCACGCTGAAGAACTACTGCTCCATGGGGAACCAGTTTGGCATGGGGAGATCGACCGTTGGGGCTGTGCTGATGCAGGTTTGACTCTCTTGCTGTCCTCCCAGGAGGGTGATGAACTACTGTAATGGGGTTCCCTAGAGAAGGGGAAGGTGGAATCTCCCTCCCTGCAAGTTTTTCAGTCCTGCCTTCACAAATCCCTGCTGGGGATGGGGTAGTTGGGGTTGCTTCTGGTGTGGGAAGGGGCTTGGGCTTGGGGAACCTCCCGAAGGCTCTGACAACTCTGATTCTAGGTTCCTATCATTCTACAAATGTTGAGGGCTATCAACAGCATCCTGCTGCACAGGGTCATCACCCTGGGTGACATGGACTCTATCGTCACTGGCTTTGCTGCCATGGGCTTCCCCAACTGTAGGGGAGCCATTGATGGCACCCACATCCCCATCCAGGCCCTCGATACATCAGCGGGAAGAGGTACTTTTCAATGGTACTGCAGGCCCTCGTGGACCACTGGGGCCAGTTCACCAACATTAACATTGGGTGGTCAAGGAAGGCGCATGACGCCCGCATCTGTAGGAACTCCAGCCTTTTCCAGAAGATACATGCTGGCACTTTTTCCCTGACTGCACCATCAGGGTTGGGGAGGTGAACATGTGCATCTGCATCATGGGCAACTCAGCATATCCCTTGCTTCTACATGGGTTTATGAAGCCCTACATGGGACACCTGGACCCCGCCAAGGAATGGTTCAACACCAGGCTCAGCAGATGCTTCATGGTGGCGGAGGGCGACTTTGGCCGCCTCAGAGGGAGATTCTGGTGTCTCCTCATCCGCTTGGACCTCAGCAACCAGAACCGCCTCCAGGTTGTTGTGGCCTGCTGTGTTTTCCACATTTTGTGCAAGAACAAGGGGGAGACTTTGCTGCTAGAGTGGGGGACCGAGGCTTTTGAACAGCCGTGCACCGCTTCCATCCAGCAACCCCATCAGGGATGTCCTGAGGGAGAGTTTCAACCAAGGCCAGCTGTGACACTTTCCCCCGAGCCTCCTCCAAAAGGGCCTCTGCACCTTTCCTCCCCTGCCCTCCATTCCCCCCTCCTCTCTCCTGCAGACCAAATTAAAAAGACTTTTTGTTTGAAACAATAAACTCTGTTATATTTATTTGGGGACTATGTAACTGGGGAGGATCTGGTGAAAGAACCTGGGAGGAGGGAAGAGGGGCTCAGAGATGGGGCCAGGACTGGTGTCAGCTTTGGGTGTGTTGGGAGGCCATGCCTGCCTGAAAGGTCCCACTGCCTTGTGTGTGCGGTCGGGCAGGGGGTGGGGGGACTAGGAGGAGAAACTGCGGGGGGACAGGGACAGATGTGGGAGGGACTTGGGGGTAGTGGGTACAGGAGGGACTTGGGGAGAGCAGGTGCTAGAGGGGCAGCTGCTGGCGGCAACCAGGCACTCGACAGCGTTGGTGTATGCCATGCATATCACCTTGTGTTGCCAGGACTGTTGCTCCCAGATGGTGCGGCATCGCTCCCACTCAGTACAGCACTCCTGGCGGTCCTCCTCGAAGTTGTGGGTCAGGGACTGGAGGTACTTGATGTGTTCCCTTGCCAGGTTGTCCTAGGGTTGCCTCCACCAGCGACTCTTGCAGGGTCATGCTGAGGGCGTGGGAGGCGGTGTACGTGCCATGCTCGCTGCTGGTCCAGCTGTGAAGAAAAGCAAGAAGGGCAGTCCTCCCAGGAGACACTGTGAATGAAGACTGGCCCTAATAACTGAGCCAGTACCGAAGGTCTGGGTTCAGACAATGGTGATGTGCTTTGAGCAAGACCATTTGTTGCCTTCACAGCAGGCACTTTCCTGCAGGGACACAGACATCCCTGGGGAGCCTCGCTACCTCCATGTCCCAGGGACAAGCAGGAATAGGAAAATGCCAGCCAAGCCAGGAGCCTGTGGGCGGGAGGGGGGAGAACGGAGTATCTTGGCTTCCTTCTGTGACCCACACACACCAGAGGGAGAACTTCTATCCCTGCCTGCTGGAGGACGGGGAAGGGAGTGTTGGGGGAAGTGTGTGTGAATAGCAGAGGCCACTTTCCCTATAAAGTGCTACAGAGGTCCCCTTCCTCCTCCTCCTCTGCCTGGCAAGTTCCCATCTGGGGGATCAGTGTCCTCCGCCTTGGCGCACTTCACCAGGAGTTGATGCTGTGCCATGAGCCTGTGCCATGTGTATCACTGCTGTGTGTTTCCATGACCCTGGCCTCCTTAGTGGTGGTTTGCGGCGGGAAGGTGACTGTGACGGAGTGTACCAACACTGCTCTGACGCTCATGGAGTTACATTAGCCCAGCTGGCAGAGAGCCTCCTCCCCTCAGTCCTGTTGGGCATGCTCCAACTGGAGACTGAGTATAAAGGCTTCTGGAGCAGCTCAGTCAGGGCTGACTGCTGAAGGGGAAGGAGACGTTGAGGAAGCTCCAGGGGAGAAGTGCAGCTCAACTAGGCAGTGGCAACTGGGCCGAGAGGTGCTACCAGAGAAGCCACAGAAGAAGAGTGAGCATATGGAGAAGACATCTGCCAGGTACCTCTAGGAAGTAGCCCAGGGTGGGGAATTGCTCCCCGAGCTCTCAGCGTGTTGCGGCAGGATTCCCCGCTGAGCAAGCAGTGTACAGTACCACTGCCAACAGGGCCCTGGGCTGGGACCTGATGGAGAGGGAGGACCCAGATCCTCCTATCCCCTCCTTACATATCTCCCTGTGGGGGGGAGATTTACTACTGCTGTATGGACTTAGGCCACAGTGTTGTAATACCCTGACTAAAAGGACTTATACATGGACTAAGGCAAGGCCACTGGACCATATTACTCTGCAGAGGGGTACTTGTGTATGCTTACTGAGGCCAATGGGCTGTAATACTCTGAATACAGGGACATGTATATAAATGGAGGCCACTGGGCCATGATACCTTGAATACAGGGGCATTTACATTGGCTGGGATTGCTGGGCCATAATACCCTGCACACAGGGATGCGTATGTTATCTGAAACCGCTGGACTGTAACACCCAGGAGTGGCCCTAAATGAGCTGCTGGCAACTGGTGCCCTAGGCGAAACGCACGATTGGTG